GCGTCTGCAACAGGCTGTTAGAAATATTCTTTGTGACCCGAACGGCCAAGTTTCTGATCTGTATAGAAGAAGTGACTGACTTGACGCTGTTTGTATTGAAAATCCGACTGAATTTTGTTGTTCATTCTGGCTGAGTGATGAAGATTTCCAGATTGGGTGTTTCAGGTTGACGAATGTGTTTCCCGCATGCCTTCCCGATTCGATTCTCGCTCGATTTAACATCGTCGTCCATTCCAACTGCCTGTAGTTGAGACAATGCTCCGTAGATAAGTGAGTGAATGAAGTAACCTCTTTCAAATCCCTCCAGTTGATGGTGATCGGTGCTGGATGTGGATGCTGTTGTTGTCGTTGGTGGTGGTCGTTGGTTATTTTCATAACCTCCGTCTTGAACATTCACCTATGTTCACCTGGAGTCCTGTTTTGGCTGGCTGCTTCTTCGACCAGTTTGTCGGTGCGTTTTCGCTTGTAAGTATTTAATTTTGTGTGACATCAAACATAAATCATCCAGGCGCGATATCCAGGTCTTCTAGGTTCTTCACGTCGGTTTGTCCAGGATATCCTTTTCTTCTCGTTTCCCACTGTCTGACGCATAATCCAGTCCACCACAATTAGGAATATCATTCATTGGTGATAAGAAACACCCTTGTCTGACTCCTGTGTTTACTCCAAATGCCTCTCTGAGGTTTCCGTTGTGGATGACTTGACATGTGCAGTTGTCGTACAGCTGTTGAATAAGGTAGATGAATATTTGGGGTACGCCATAGTACTCCAGTAGTTTCCAAGTTACTTTGGGGTCAACGCTGACTCAGTACTCTGTACGGCATCAAGCTTCATGCCGTTAAGTGACTGATGACCTCTTATTTGACTTGTTTTTCAGTAGGCTAACTCACAGCGATGTTACTGTCTGAACAAAAATTATATAACAACTTTAATGAACAGTGGGAATAATTCAAGTAGAATGAGGATGACCCATCTAGTAACTTTAGGTAACCTCAGTAATTATAATAATACAATGTGCATCATTTTCCGAGTCAATAAAATGTGCTATTTATTCGATTATTTAAAAAAAAAGCAGAAAGTTATTTAATTTCTATGCTGCTTAAGGCTGTAATTATTAAATTAAATTGACTGCCATTTTTACTGCCTCTGCTAGTATGACTCTGTGATGCTGTCATCAGTAGGTGGTACTGCTTCACACATCAAATAAATTACTTCTACAATAAAGAATGCTGTTTTTATCATTTGATAAAAGTTGCTTTGAAATTAAATTCCACTCACCAGTATGTCAATTAATCAGCAGGTGCTATTATTATTATGATTATTATTATTATTTGTGTGACATATATCATGCAAAAAACGGTTTCTTTTATAATACTGTAGCAGTTCAAACTTATCTTTTTAATAGATGTGAATTAAAAATTGGGAACCAGAAGAGTGAAAGACCTAGTTAAGCGGAAAATTTACACGTTGATAACAGTGATAATCACGTTCATGCAGAGACAAGAAAATGCTGCACTAAAGTTTAAATTCTCTACAATATATGACTGCAATTTGTGGAAATATCAGATGATAGCATCAATCATAACTCTCACTGATTTATTTCTGTTTAGTAAATGTAGCGTAAAGGAATATGATGCTTATTCTAGAATTCTAGAATTATTCACTAACCTAAATCTTATGTGATAGTTATATTCCCCTGTATTTTTCCCCTGTATAAGTAAAGTAAAATGTCCAGTTCGTACTTTTATGTGGATTCATTCATTACTTTCAAGATGCATTTTCCAAAGTTCTTGTAATAATCTCTTTTGGATAAGGTCCATAAATTCACTTGTAAGGGAAAAAAAATTGTTGATTTTATTGTATGGTTGGAGGTTGGGGACTGTGGGTTTTGGATTTACCATCTGTTGTAAAGTCCACCTTGATACTTAAAAGTCACTGTTTCAATCTCTCAAAAGGTTGTGGTTGAGCAACACTAAAGATTCCTAAGTTTAGGTGAAGTAGCTTATAAATGCGCTTCCCGTTCAGGGTTGATTTCAGTTTGTTTAAATGTTAACATTGAAAACAAACGTCAATTTTCATATTACTAAAGTAACGTAAATGTTGTGTATATGGAAGTACTAAGCAACAGGGATCTCTGGGAGCGAACCAACCAGGAACCGATTGTAAAACAACTAGGTAGGAAGAAATGGAGATGGATTGCCCATACGCTGAGGAAACCATCAAGTGACATTACTAGACAAGCCATCTCTCGAGTGGAACCCGAAAGGGAAGCTGCGAGTTGGTCTTCAGTGTGACGATGGGGTGACTTGGAAGAGGTGATGTGAAGAGGAGATGAAAGCATGTGGGCAGACTTGGAGCGGGGTGAAAACGTTAGCAAAAAAACGAAGGCAATGGAGATGCGCAGCTGAAGCCCTATTTTCCTTTAGGAATTAAAGGATATAATAAATAATAATAAGCAAAATAACCGTCGTTTCTTTCTTTCCCAATATCTAGATGCATGTGAAATCTTAAAGCATACTTATATCAATAAAGCGAATATCGATACTGTTTAAAAGACTACTCACTGAGAAACACTGATCTCCTGTAGAAATATGTAGGCCCGAATAGCTCCATGGTAATATCTCTAATTGCAGCGCTTGGTGATCCGGGTTCGAATCCCAGACAGGGTATGAGTTCCATAAAGATAGCAGATACACCTTGCTGACAAGTGTCGACAAGCACGAAACCTAGATCAAAGGCTTCCTGCTGGTTGTGTACAACCACTTAAAATCGCGATGAATAACAAGATATAAGATGTTAATCAGACAAAACCCACCCTCCATTCTTATTGGTTAAACTTGTTCTTTATATATGCACTGAACTCTAAGAGTTATGATTTGCCTTACTGACTAAGATATACAGGATACAAATATCACGTTTTGTTAACCCTAACAATAATTTTCATCCGACATTTGAAACTACAACCAAACACTGTCGAAGGAGGGTGAATCCCACGGAATACTATTCACCAGATAAGAATTGTGTATCATCAGTGACGATTGTCATTAAATCTTAAACCACTAACTGTTCTGTCTTTTCACCGAAATCTAACAAATAAAGATAAAATTTCACTAAGAACACATTCAAGTTCCCTAAATGAAACTGTACTCCAGTACGTCTCTGTTACTTTGTCTAGTGCTGACCAACTTTAACAGTCACTGTTCTGGATGATCATAGCTTATCTACTAATATTTCAAGTATTGGTTTTGTAGGGATTTTGTTTGATTGCATGAAGGATTTCATCATGAGCTGACATCAGTTAAAGAACCACAGGGAAACCTGGGAGTACTGGATAGTTGTTTCGTCAGCCTAATTTGGGACTCTTCAATGGTACGCATCCGCCGGGGTTCGAGCCCGGGACCTCCTGGTTACAAGGCGAGCCCGTAGACCATTGAGCCACTGGGACCAGCTAATCCAATGGTCCGTGAACTCTAACTTCTGCCAATTCATGACATAGAGCGACCATTTCTTAATGTCTTCTTCAATGAGTTACTGTCTTGCCTTCAACCTGCTGTGTCCTCCTGGTCACGATTTCCCACTAGAACCCCAGGTTAACTTCCAGAATAGGGCTAGTCGCTAGTGAGCATCAAATTAATTTTCAAGTATTGGTTTCGTAGGGATTTTGTTTGACTGCATGGAAGAAGTTACAATTCCAGGACCATTGGTTTGAGTCCCAGTGGCTCAAATGGTCTACGAGCTCGCCTTGTAACCAGGAGATCCCAGGCTCGATCCCTGGTGGGTGCGTACTGCTGAAGAGTTCCAAAGTAGGCTGGTGAAACAGCTGTCCCAGGTTTTCCAGTGGTTTTCTAACTGATATTTACCAAGAGTCATTGCAAAGATAAAACAGTAGTAGGAGGAGTAGTAGTAGCCTTCAATCTTGTTATAATTACTTTATTCCCTTTTAACCAAGTCAATACTGCTGTAATAAGTCATTTCAGGAGCTGCCGTTATACTCCACTTCAGGAATTAAGTCTTCACTTCAGTCTATGTTATCATCTTAAGTAGAAAAATGTCACCACACCCATCGTCAGAATTTATCTTTTCTTCAACTTTCCGCATTAATCAATAATGCCAACCTATTACCTTCAGACCAGATCGGAATATTTCAGTATTCAGAAGTAATTCAGTTACTGGGTGTTTAAATCGAATTCCACTCATTAATCCTAACAGAATATTTTCACACTCTCTTCACATTTTTATACAACTATTTATCTCATCTGACAGATTAACATTCATTTTCAAACAAAAAGTTGATAGTTCTAAGTTGATAAGAGTGTCATGTTAAGCTTCATATCTTGATTACATCATCAGTCGGTAATAATAATAATAATAATATTAATAATATTGACAGCGTATTGCTCCTGTGGAGGTGAATATTCATTTAGCCACCCACTCGCCTCCCCTCCCCTCTCCATAGGGAAATCAGAATGCCTATGAATTAATTCAATGTTATTTTCTCATTATTCATAATAACAGCAGTTGAAATGGGGTGCAATTTCAACAATGACTCACTGAAGTGTTTATCAGCCATTTGAAATCAAAAAAATTTATACTCTTCACTTTCACTCTTATCATCATCACCATCATTATCATTTAAAGTAGCAGCATTCACAGCAAAAGTGTAAGCATGCAGCATTCATTCCAGCAAAACGCGTTTCCCTTTTTCCTCTATAGGATAATTTCAATCAGATAGATATACGGTCATAAATACTGCCATTGCATTTTGTTTATTTGTTTGAATGCATAAACATAAATGTGAAGTGAAGTGAAGTGTGAAAAGGAGAAGGAAGTTGAAGCAAAAATACACATCAACCAGCCAATCATATTTAAGTGCGGTGATTACACCTGGCATAAAATATAGGGAGAAATAAAATCCATTTTCCTATTTGATGAAAGACAAAAAGAAGGTGAAAAGAAGAGACAGGGGGGTGGGGTGGGAGAGGGAAAACGAGATGAATGGGTAGAAAAACAACAGAAAGATAAAATAAGAAATAAATTCTGATATATAAATAGTGCCAGTATTCTCAGCAGTGTTCACCTACAGAATATTATTATTGTTATTGCTGTTTTATAAAATGGATATTGAAGATAATCCATATCATCAGAGGAAATCAATGAATCAATCATTTCTGGAATCGATCATTGAAAAACACTTTTATTCTTCAAATTATAATCGAAGTGATAGTCAAGAAATTGATATCCTACTGGAATCTCCATCAAGTTCTAGTCAATTTTCAACAGTACAACAACGTCAACAACACTCTACTCCTTTGACATTATCAGAACATCAAAATTCTTATGAAACGATAGAATCACTCACTCAACTGAATGATTATTCTTTAGTGAATCAACTAAATCCATCTGTCTGCTATCAGTCGAATAATTTAAGTGGCTACATCCATATTAGTAATGATAATAACTGTAATCATCTTACGTATATGAGTACTCCATATGCTAAGCGGGAATTTGTTAATCAACAAAGAAATGATGAAGACTTCTTCGATTATTCATCTTTTGATGCTGGGAAGACAACAGTTACAATACCAACTTCGATAATCAACAGAATCGAAAATAGACAATCTGAAAATTTTCAATCACAGTTTCAAAACAGTGAACCACTGGTAAACCAACTCATTGTCACTTCACCTGATCAAATTTCTCCATTCATTCAGGAAGTTCGCACAGAAGAAAACTTATCTATAAAATATCCTCGAAATTCTCCTGTTGTACAGAATGTAAGTCACTTTTTTTCCTTCACGTTCCCATTGGAACATTGGGCCTCAAGCTAGAGGTTTGAAGTTTCTGTTGCAGTGTTTAATTTTACAGGACGGGGTTGTTAGCCTCATACCCAACCTTTCCTCTTTACCGACTTTTTATTACTGGTTTGGCGAGGTAAAGGAGTGTCTGTGGCCGGGGATCGAACCCCGGACCATGTGCATGGTCGGCGAGTATCCCAGCCACTCATTTGTATGCACGTTAGTAATGCAACCAACTGTGTCTATGAGAACCATATTCTGATTTGCATTTTTAATTTGAGACATACTATAGACCTATTTTAAACATTGCATATCCCCCTTTTATATATAGGTCAATGTTTAATTGTAATGAAAGAAACTGAAATAGTTTTCAACTAAATTTGCATTATGCATGATGGAATCAGTAAAACTTGGTTGTTTTAAGGCTATGAGAATGAAATATGATGCGCTTTCATAAACATTAGCAGGAAACTATGGTTGGCAAAAGTAACAACATGAATAGTGTAATTTACACGTTTCTCCAAACCATTCAATCCATTTTTAGTTTGTCAGTCCATCCTAATCATTTGATAGTATTCTAGCAAACAGGAACTGTGCGGTTTTTCAAGGTAAATTTAGCTAAGTGTGCAAAAATGGTGAGCTCAGTTCTAAAGATTTCTCAATAGTGGATAGATCAGAATATCAAATATGTTAATTAGGTTAGAATTCGACTACTAGTATAACAATGAAAGAAACAGTTCAGCAGAGATTAGCTGAAGTCACGTGTTTCACCAGCATTGATTTCGGTGACGATTTGATACGTCGTATATTATTATTATTCAAAGTTCATCCAAATAAATCAGCGATTAAATTTTATCTATCTTAAATGTCAAATGGCTTACAGAAAAGTGTATATATATATATATTCATCTTAATAAGTTTAAGAATATTTAAAGAAGGGATTTATGTGGCGTTAAGAATGTTTTTTCAGTAATATTTGCCTCATAGGTGTCCCGTTGCCCAAAATCTCATAGTAAGAGTTTTGTTATGCTGATAACCATAAAAAATCATCTATTATGGCTAGTCATCTTCGTCATACTTTTTCCTTAAGGCAAAGATGAATCAATAATAGCATCATTATGGAGCCGTACAATATGTAGGAGAGAATGGAGATGAATTGGGTATATGGCACTGAGGAGGTTGTCGAATGGCATAGTGCACAATGCAAGCCATCGGTCAAGTGGAATCCCAATTGGGAAACGATGAGTCGGTCGTCAGGGCGAGTGTTACATGGAGAAGATCGTGCAGGGAGAAGGAAATGAGAGGTTATGGTCAGCCGTGGACACAGCTGAAGAGGACTGCAGAAAATAGAAGAAAGTGTACATGTGTTGTTGAAGCCCTATGTCCCACTTGGAACTCAAGGGAATAATATTAAATTATAATAGTAATAACAACTGACTACTTCACTACCTTCCTCTGCAAGAGGCTATTATAAACAGTGTTTATTATTAAAATTCTTTATAAAATATACAGGAAAACTTTCTATTATTTTTATTTAATAATAAATATTTATTTTCTTTAAAATAAAAATAGGATCAAAAAAATTCAAAAATTCGATATAATTCAACCAGAATACTTTCAACAATACGTAGACAACATCAACGTGAACAAGATAAAAATCGTACAAGAACATTGAATGCGGCATTCTGTAATTTACGGTCATGCCTACCAGAAATACCAAAGGATACAAAACTTACAAAAATTAGAACATTACGTTATGCAATAACATATATTCGTCAATTGATGGATTTACTTCAAGAGACTGATCCAGTGTTCAATGCATCAAGTCTAATGTTCAACGGTACAGTCAATTCATTGAAAATGGTAAGAATGACTTTATTTGATAGTATACTGCACAATATATTTTGCCTTCATATAAGGAAACATGCATCGAAAAGTCCTTGTAAGCCGTCTTCAGTAGTATAATTAGTAGGTCATTATGTTAGGATAATTAACCACTCGATTGTATTAAAAGATAGTCATTCTTGTATTGTGTCTCAGGGACTGCAATGTACCGAATTATATTCTGTTTTTTTAACTATTTCCTTCATGTTCCCAGTGGAACATAGGGTCTCAAGCAAGTGTCTTGAAGTTTCTCTAGCAGTGTTTAATTTTAGCCTCATGTTCAACCTTTTCTCTTTACCAGCATTATTTCTGGCTTAGCAAGGTAAAGGAGTGGGTCGTTGGCCGGGGATCGAACCGCGGACCATGTGCATGGTCGGCGAGCGTCCTAACCACTGTGCCACCGACGCACAACTATATTCTGTGCTATACATTAAATAATTCCCGTATAAGTTATTTCTAATAACAGAGGAAAAATGTGTAGTACTCTCGCAATAAGATATCAGGTCATAGTCTTTCCTTTCTATGTGTAACATCAAATTCATATGATAGACTACTTCATCAGGAGGGTTATAGCATCAAGCATCTCAACCAACTTAGCATAATACGCTAGCTGAAGTATACTTTTAAACATTTACTGGCATAAATCTTCTTAGTCAGTAATTTACATGACTGTTAAAGTGATACCGATCAGCTTTAGGTTTAGTATTTCGAAGTATCGACTTGTTGTACTTATGCATGAAAAGCGCAAATTCAAATAAGTAGAAACTCACTGTTTACTGGTTCTAGTGTTCTCCAAGTTAATCATTTTCAACCTAATATGACAGCGCTTCTTAATGATTCTGTTAACACCGAAAAGTTTACTCGTTTTAAACCACGGCAGCTATCCAAGTAACTTGTATTTCTCGGCTAAGAAAGTAACAGAGTTACACAAATACTAAAGCCTGATAGATTTAACTTGAAAATATATAATAAGTTAATATTTTCTTATTATTAAGTGGGATAAATTTCTTGATTGCAGTTACTAATGCATTCACAAAAACCTAGAGACTAGTAGTGAGTTTTTTAGTGATCTCTTATTCTCTGATAATTCCAAGCTGCAAGGTCATTTAGTTTATAATGTTTAAATTGGTTGGAGGATTTCATCATGAGCTGACGTTAGTTAGAGAACCATTGGAACACCAACCAGGGAGTACTCGACAGCTGTTTCGTCCCACCTGGTTTGGAACTCTTCTGAAGTACACACAAACCGCCACGGTTCGAACCCAGGACCTCCTGGTCACAAGGCGAGCCCGTAGACCATTAAGCCACCGGAAACCGATCCAATGGCCAATGAATTCTAAATTCTGCCAATTCACGACATAGCGTGACCATTTCTTTATGTCTTCTTCGAGGAGTTACTGTCTAATCTTCAACCTGCTGTATCCTACTGGTCACGGCTTCCCACTAGAACCCCAGGTTAACCGCTTGAATAGGGCCAGTCACTAGTGAGCATCAGATCCAGTACTGTCCAGTACTCCCAAGTTTTCCAATGGTTCTCTAATTAATGTCAGGTCATGATGAAATCCTCCAACCAATCAAACAAAAAACCCCACAAAGTCAATACTTGAAAATGTTTAAATTGAAGATAATTCTAGTCTTACAGGATTCAACGATGATGCCTTAAAATGTTTCAGATATATTCATCACAAAAATGTCTTTCATCTGCGGGGACGTATTACATTACAGTTTATATATGATTAAATAGTTCACTGGTACTTTATTCTATTACCCGAAAGCATGTTGTAATTATAATAATAATAATAATTATTATTATATGCTGATTTTATACTTCATTTTGTTATTTGTAGGAGCCTGACTATGATCAATTATCAATGAAGGACAGTGGATATCTCAGTTTTATGGATAGATAATTGACAGTACCATCCTTATTGCTTATTTTTCTGCCTCATTATATCATCTACTTATTTTTAAATTACATATTTTCTGATTGTACACAGATTTATTTTCAGTCCAATTTTTGTTTTCTTTTTTTGCTTTCTCTACATTCAATTTTCCCGCTTTTATTCTTCAGAGAAGGAAAAAAAAGAGTTTAACACTAGACAATGCTCATATTTTTTCTTTTATCATACAAATGAATTTTTTATTATTTTCTAAACACAAAATGCCATTCTTTCAGGTAATAATTTGCTTCCTTTTTTATGTTAAGATATGATTAATATGCATTCCTGTTCATTATTTTCTTTCTTTTTAATAACCCAATAAAGAAAATATGCATTATATAGAAGATAGTTTGCTTTCAATGATTTCTAATGAGACCAGTGAACAATATTATTCTTATTGTTCCCTTGGGTTCCTAAAGGAATATAGGGCTTCAACTGCACGTCTCCAATTGCTTATGTCTTCCTCCTTCTGTACTTATCACCTGCATCCATCCATCTTAGTCCATACTATTTCAACTCCTCTTCGTACGATCTCCTCCATGTCACTCACCCTTGCACTGACGACCCACTCGCCACTTCCCTCCCTTTCGGCCTGGCTCCACTCGACCAATGGCCTGACTCGCGCGCAATGTCACCCAGTGGTGGCCTCCTCAGACACGAATGTCCAATCCATCCATCCATCTCCACTCCATCTCCTGCATATTTGTTAGTTGGCGATTGGTTGGTTCTTGATTTGTTTGTTTGTTTGTTCCCACAGTTTCCAATAGTTGGTGATTCTTTCCGGCCCCCCGGCCATCTCATCTTCATTCAGTATAGATCCAGTGAAGACAGTTGTTGGTTGATAAAGGTAGCGTCTGCAACAGGCTGTTGGAAATATTCTTTGTGACCCGAACGGCCAAGTTTCTGATCTGTATAGAAGAAGTGACTGACTTGACGCTGTTTGTATTGAAAATCCGACCGAATTTTGTTGTTGATGGTGGCTGAGTGACGAAGATTTCTAGGTTGGGTGTTTCAGCCTGACGAATGTGTTTCTCGCTCGCCTTCCCGATTCTCGGTCTATTTGACATCGTCGTCCGTTCCTCCTCCTGTAGTTGAGACAATGCTCCGTAGATAAGTGAGTGAATGAAGTAACCTCTTTCAAATCCCTCCCGTTGTTGGTGATCGGTGCTGGATGTGGATGCTGTTGTTGTTGGTGGTGGTGGTGGTCGTCGTTGGTTATTTTCATAACCTCCGTCTTGTCTATGTTCACCTGGAGTCCTGTTTTGGCTGGCTGCTTCTTCGACCAGTTTGTCGGTGTGTTTTTGCTTGTAAGTATTTAATTTTGTGTGACATCAAACATAAATCATCCAGGCGCGATATCCATGTCTTCTCGTTTCCCACTGTCTGGTGCATAATCCAGTCCACCACAATTAGGCGGTGAACAGTATGTAGTGCTTTATTATCCCATTAGATTGGAGTATATGTCTTAAGTAGCACATCTCTATTTCATTCTTTTTTCTGCAGTTGTTTTTATCTGGCTTCACGATTGTCTGTAAGCTGTCATCTTCTCCTTGTTGTTGATTAGAATATCTTCATCACACCTGTCTTCTGTATGTTCATTTGGAATCCTGTCAAGCATTAAGCCTCTTAATTATAAGGAAAATTTTCTCATGGCTTTGATAAGTTTTGTAGATTTTGTTTTACTAAAGCCACTGTAACGCTGTATTCAAAGACTTCATTGTCAAGCAAGTAGCAACATGAAATTTTTCCTCAAACGATTGGATAATGGAAACTAAAATTAGTCTAAAGATAAGGATTGCTGTCACACTGAGGTGGAACACTACAATTGTCTAGTGCTTTCAAAGCATCTCTGTAACACGTTAGCACTAAGTGCTGAATACTTCCTGCGTGGAACTATTTATTCCATGTTTATTTAGGAAGATAACGGTGTTTAAAGTTTATGTAAGTATAAGAACAGCGTAGAGGGTAGTTGCTAACATAAGTCTGTAGCCTATTCGAAATGATTTTGGTGAAATGTCAAGTCTCTGAACCATATAGATACAACGATTAGATATCAGTGTTAAAAATCCGAATCTTGTTGTTTATGCTAACCACAGTCGATTTCTAGATTAATTTCAGATCAATAAAGGTCTGTCTTGGTTTGTTATTGAAACCAAAGTACCTAGATAAGTGAAAGAAGTGACTTACTTCAAGTTTCTCCCGTTGATGATGATGGTGCTTGCTGTTGTTTGTTGGTAATCTTCAACACTTCTATCTCCTCTAAGTTCACTTGAAGTCCTGTCTTTATTGTTTCGTCTGCCAACTTGTTCGTTTGAGTTGAAACACTGAAACTATTTAATTCTTATAGTGGATTTTAGAAAGAAGTCATTAATTGACGATTATCGCTTCACCTGTGAAATTATTTTGTGTTTATTTACAAAGATGAAAGTAAGCATCTTATATGGGATCCCTTGAATCAACAGTGTTTAAAGGCTGTAGAAGAATTCCTCGAAGTTAACTCTGTTGATTAGCCATATTATCATTATTGCTCTTTTAGTTCCTAGAGGAACATAGGCCTTCGGTTCTCCACCAACTTTTTTCATCTGGCTCCCCCTCTGCCTACATGCTTTCTACTCCTCTTCACACCACCTCCTCCAAGTCACCCTTGCACTGACGACCAACTCGCCACTTCCTATTCCGGTTCCACTCGAGTAATGGCCTGGCGTGTGATGTCACTTGATGGTTTCCTCAGAGTATGGCCAATCCACCTCGATTTCTTCCTGCTTATTTGTTGCACAATCGGTTACTGGTTGGTTCACTCCCAGAGATTCCTATTGCTAATCTTTTCTTGTCGGCCATCTGGTCTTGAGTGGAATTGAGCGAAGACAGCTATGATGACGATCTGTAGTTTGTTCAAAGTGCTTTACGTGATGTGCCAAGTCTCTGATCGACAAAGTAGCATTGACTTCACATTTGAGTTGAAAGTTCGGATTTTGTTTTTTAATGCTGTTGATCTCCACACAGACTTGAGGGTAATGAGAGATTACTTTGCTTTCTAGATCCTTGATTTGATATCCTAATTAGTTCTGTCCACCTGTAGTTGAAACGATGCTTCCAGATCGGTAGTTAGAGGAGGTTGCTTCTTTCAGATTTCTCCCATTTATGCTGATTGTTGTCTCTTGTTGTTGCTGTTTCCGTTGACCAGGAATCTTCATCACCTCTGTTTTCTCTATGTTCACCTGAAGGCCTATTTTCTTTGGGTGCTTCTTCTGCCAACTTGTCGCTTTTCATTTGCATATCTCCCAATTTGTAGGAAATCTGTCATCAGCGAAGTCCAGATCCTCTATGCTTTTTTGTGTGGGTCCATTTTATGCCTTTCTCCTCCTTGTCCGCAACTGTCTGTCTCATTATCCAGTCTATCGCCCACAATCAAGAAAATCATTGGATATAGTAGGCAGCCGGCTTGTCTTACTCCGGTCTTCACTTCGTAGGATTCTGTGAGTTTCCCATTGTGGATTACTTGACATGCAGGACTGTCGTACAACTGTTGGATGAGGTGCATAATTGTTGGTGGCAACCAGTAGTAGCGAAGTAGTTTCCAAATCACCTCTCGATCAACGCTGTCGAAGGGCTTTTTAAAGTCGATGAAGTTGAGATAGAGAGGTGACTGCCATTCTAAACTCTGTTGAATGATTATCCGTAGTGTTGCGGTTTGATCAATACATGACTTGTTTCTCCTGAATCCAGCCTGTTCCGGTCGAAGTTTTTCATCCAGGGCTTGTTTGATTCTCTCCAGGATGATGCGGCTTAGTATTTTGATTGGGATGGACAGGAGCATAATTCCGCGCCAGTTTTTGCATTGACCTAAGTCTCCTTTCTTTGGTAGTTTGAATAAGTAGCCTCTCTTCCAATCCTTGGGTACCTTGCCCTCCTTCCACACCATCTCCAGTAGTGGTGTCATCAAGCTCGCTGTTGTCTCTGGGTCCATTTTCAGTGCTTCTGCTGGGATTCCGTCTGTTCCTCCTGGTTTTCCAGTTTTTAGCATTTGGACTGCCCTCAGGATTTGTTTTCTTGTCGGAGGGTTGATATCCACTGGTAGTTCTGCTTCCACTATTGGTATTACTTAGCGCGTTGTAGGTGGCGGTCGATTTAGAAGTCTTTTGAAGCCATAGAAAAATTATTATCATTGACTCTGAGTATCTACTGATAAATACATTGGATTGTTAAATTGTGTTGCTTTTTTTCTCTATAACTAGATCCACAAGTAGTGAATTCTACTTTTAACTTGAACACTACATTGCTCATGTAATAATAATCCCAGTAACCGAAAGAACGCAAGAAGGAAAGACTGATGTTTTGCTATTATCATCATGACACATGTACACGGGCACGTCCAGTCATTTTATTTAGCGAACAACTTGCATGATTGGATTCACAGTTTCTTGTTGTTGAAATCAAACATAAACTCTTTCGTTATTTAAGGGCTGATTTGTGTAAAATTACTCATGTTAAAGAACTGTAATCTGTTTGAAGAAACTTCAGGATTATAGTGACTGATTTACATTCATTCACTCTATTTCATGGCGAGAAACACATCCATCAACCTGAAACACTCAATCTAGAAATCTTCATCACTCAGCCAGAACCAACAACAAAATTCAGTCGGATTTTCAATACAAACAGTGTCAAGTCAGTCAGTTCTTCTATACAGATCACAAACTTGGCCGTTCGGGTCACAAAGAATATTTCCATCAGCCTGTTGCAGACGCTACCTTTATCAACCAACAACTATCTTCGCTGGATCTATACTGAATGAAGATGAGATGGTCGGGTCGGAATCACCAGAATCACCAACTATTGGAAACTGTGGGAACAAACAAACAAACAAAACAAGAACCAACCAATCGCCAACTAACAAATATGCAGGAGACGGAGTGGAGATGGATGGATGGATGGATTGGACACTCGTGGCTGAGGAGACCGCCACTGGGTGACATCGTGCGCGCGTCAGGCCATTGGTTGAGTGGCGCTAGGCCGAAAGAGAGGAAAGTGGCGAGTGGGTCGTCAGTGCAAGGGTGAGTGACACGGAGGAGATCGTATGAAGAGGGAGGAGTTGAAACAGTATGGACTAACATGGATGGATGCAGGTGATAAGTACAGCAGAAGGAAGACATAAGCACGTGGAGACGTGCAGTTGAAGCCCTATGTTCCACTAGGAACCCAAGGGAACAATAATCATAATAATACTCTATTTCATACACTAATAACTCATTTGTGTTGTGAACTAATATCTTAAGCTATAGGAATTTAAAGATATTTACAATCAAATAAC